TGACCAGATTTTCGGTAACCTCAATCTGAACCTCATTCTGAACTTGACTTTTCTCCCCCCCCCCAGGCCTCCTCGTGGAGTGCATTGACCTCCCGTGGCAGGGCCTGGGTTATTGCCCCGTTCTGAAATCCACCACGCACTTTCAGTCCTTATCAGCTCCGTCAACTAAACCCTTGCTTTCCCCCCCTCGCTGTGTTCCCGTGGACTACATCGACCTCCCGTGGCAGGGCCTGGGTTATTGCCCCGACCTGACCCATTCAGCACTAAAACCTGATTGTCAAACCACAAAACATAACCTCGTACGTTTTCTCCCCCGCAGCGTCCCCGTGGATTACATCAACCTCCCGTGGCAGGGCCTGGGCTTCTATCTAACCTAACCCACTACGCAAATCTCGATCTTAACCATTTCCCGGTTATCAAGACCGTCTCTTTCCCCCCCCCGGCAGCGTGCCCGTGGACTACACGATCGACCTCCCGTGGCAGGGCCTGGGTTATTGCCCGACCTCACCCACTACGCATTTCGACCTGACTGAATTGCCGGTTATCGAACCTCGCTTTCAGCCCTAACTGAATGTTTGGTTTCAAACGTCAAATCCTAACCCTTAACTTTCTCTATCCCCAGTGTCCCCGTGGATTACATCAACCTGCCGTGGCAGGGCCTGGGTTATTGCCCCGACCTCACCCACTACCCCATTTAGTCCCAAGTAAAATCCGGTTATCAAACCACGAAAATTAACCTTGTTTTTTTCTTCCCCGCAGTGTGCCCGTGGACTACATCGACCTGCCGTGGCAGGGCCTGGGTTACTGCCCCGACCTGACCCACTACGCCCTTTCGGTGCCCACCAGCAGAATCTCGCCCGACACGGGCTGCCCCGGCGGATGCAAGTACTACAACCACGCGAGCTGCCCCACCGAGCAGTGCTGGAACTACGCCTACCCGGGGGAAGGCACCGGGGACCAGGTGAGGGTCTAATTCTAAAAAACTTATCTTGGATTTTTGCCGCCAACAACTGTTGTTTCTGGGAGGCGTGCGAGTACTACAACCACGCGAGCTGCCCCACCGGGCAGTGCTGGAACTACGCGTACCCGGGGGAAGGCACCGGGGACCAGGTGAGGGTCTTTCTATTTTATCTTTTTGTATTTTTTTTGCTTGGAAGTTGCCGCCGACCACTTGGTTTTGAAGAAAGTCGAAATCTCTGCCTCAAAGAGTCAGCATACCTGTGGGAAGGCACCGGGGACCAGGCGGGGGCTCAGTTTCTCTGGAATGATTGCTCGGATCCTGCAGACCACTGTTGTTTCTCAGAAACGCCTCTTGCCCCAGGCGGTATTTATTGGTATAGCTCCCTTCCCCAAAAGAGCCTCTTCAACTGCGGCAGCCAAAAGCGCGGCCGGACGGCCTTCTACTACTGAAAATCTTGAGGGGACGAAACACTCTCGTTCCGAGGGGCTTTTGAGCGGTAGAGTATCCCCCCCGCAGGACCTCTTCAACTCCGGCACAACTGAACAGCTGGAGGGCCTCGGCTCGCCACAGTTCACTCAAAAACACTCTGGGTTCTTTCACCTCTTTTCCGTAAAACGCTTTCTAACCCGTCCAAACTATCCCCCCCCGCAGGGCCTCTTCGAACTGCGGCACCCAGACCAACGGCTGGATGCCCTTCACTTCCGTCACAACGCAGAGGAAACCGTCCCAAACCATC